GTCCAAAAAGCCGAGAGAAGGGAAAAGGGGGGGGGGGGGGGAGAGGAAAGATCCAAAGCTTCTTTTTTTTTCCTCTTTGCTCCTTTAGTAACAATTGTACAAAAACAAAAAGAATAGAAAACCCCAAAAACATCAAATAAGATCCCAAAGATGAGCAGGGCAGAGACGGTCTGGATTCGGCTCCCACAGTAAAAGCTCCACTTCCTCCACTTCTCTCTCTCTCTCTGTGTCTGTGTAACACACAAAAAAAGTCTTGGAATGAGAGAATGATGAATCCAGCGGAGGAAGAAACCATTCCGCAAGCAGGAGGGGGAGGGACAGACTTTTCTAAACTCCCAGCCGCGGCCACATTTTTTCCCTCCAGATGAAGAATAACAAGCAGCAGAGAGAAGAGAAAAGTTACTTTGTATTGTTGTTACATTGTAGCAGGGAGGAAGAGGAGCGTGTATCCTTCTCGCATCCTTCTAATATCTTTATTGTATCTTTCTTGTATCTTTGTTATTTCTTTCTTGTATTTTTATTTTATCCTTCTTATATTTTTGTTGTATCCTTGTTGTATCTTTATTGTTTCCTTCCTTGTATCCTTCTTGTATCCTTCTTGTATCTTTCTTGTATCCCTCTTGTATCCTTCTTGTATACTTCTTGTATCTTTCTTATATCCCTCTTGTATCTTTCTTGTATCCCTCTTGTATCCTTCCTGTATCCTTCTTGTATCTTTCTTGTATCCTTCTTGTATCTTTCTTGTATCCCTCTTGTATCCTTCCTGTATCCTTCTTGTATCTTTCTTGTATCCTTCTTGTATCTTTCTTGTATCCTTCTTGTATCCTTCTTGTATCTTTCTTGTATCCTTCCTGTATCCTTCTTGTATCTTTCTTGTATCCTTCCTTGTATCTTTCTTGTATCCTTCCTTGTATCTTTCTTGTATCTTTCTTGTATCTTTCTTGTATCCCTCTTGTATCTTTCTTGTATCCTTCTTGTATCATTCTTGTATCCTTCTTGTATCCTTCTTGTATCTTCCTTGTATCCCTCTTGTATCTTTCTTGTATCCTTCTTGTATCCCTCTTGTATCCTTCTTGTATCTTTCTTGTATCCCTCTTGTATCTTTCTTGTATCCTTCTTGTATCTTTCTTGTATCCCTCTTGTATCCCTCTTGTATCCGTCTTGTATCCTTCCTGTATCCTTCCTGTATCCCTCTTGTATCCTTCTTGTATCCTTCTTGTATCTTTCTTGTATCTTTCTTGTATCCCTCTTGTATCCCTCTTGTATCCTTCCTGTATCCTTCCTGTATCCCTCTTGTATCCTTCTTGTATCCTTAGGCCTCATTCACACACAACGCAAGCAAAATTGTATATTGCGTATATACGAGCGTCTATGCGAGATACGCTGCCCGGACGCATCTCTGTTCCATTCTGTTCTTGCGCGCGTATACGCTACGCAAATACGCGGCTCCATGCCGTGTGGCTGTGTGTATGGAGCCATTTATTTGCATATGTCGCATACGGTACGGTACGCACGCGCGCTGCGTAGGTGCGCGGCAGTGTGAATGAGGCCTTATTGGTACTTTGTTGTTTCCTTTTTTTTTTTTATAAACATTCTGGAAAAGATTCTTTGAAGCATTGGGGGAAAAAAAGAGGATCTGA